TGGGGGCGCAATAGAGGGGGGGTTTGGTCATGGTCATGCATGGAAGCATTTCCCGAAGAGAATCGAATCCCCCTTTCTTTTTGCTGTTTTAACACAGTTTTGCTACAGCCTTCTTTAACATTCCCCAAGAAAATGATGGGTGTGTTGCCTTTCATGGTGTTCTAATTTCTATCGCTAGCTCGTAGTTGTTTCTCTTCTCTTTCTCTAAAGGGAGGAGAGAAAGAGAGAGAACGGGCAATCGAGAATAAAACTTAAGAGGGGATTGAGAATATTAATTATGAGAAGCTACTGCAAAGGAAAATGACAGTGAAAAAGCCATTACAGTAGTGAAGAAGAAGAAGAAAGAGGAAAAGAAAAGATGGTCAAAATCTGAAACCTCGAAGACTTCTCTTCCATCATCAGCTTCGACTATCTTTATCGAAACTCTACCATTTATTTTCTTTTTCTTTAATCTGGACCTTGTTCTCTTAATCAATCAATTAATTACATCCTCCCTCCGAACCTTCCAATCAAATAATCGACATAGAAGAAGAGATCGAGATCGATAGCTATAGCCCCATTGCTCTTTTTTTCTTTTCTCAAGAAATGTGAGTAGAATATTTAATTGAATTGCAAAAAGACTTTCCTTGAAGTTACAACTAACCCTGGAACTTTTACTTTTACTTCAACTATGTTCAAAATATCAAGCTTCAAAGGTCGTCTTGTTGGCAAGTAATATTTATGTTCTTTTCCTAGTTATCAACAAAGGTTGAATTTACATAATCAAGTTTAGTTAACAATATCCTTGCACATGATTCGTTGGAGGTCGGGTTAATTTTTTTTTTTTGCTGTAAAAAGTTTTTATGAGTGTTGTTGATGTGTTTTTTAGCAAAATAAAAGGATTTAAACTACATCGAAAAAGACAATATGAATGATTTATAAAAATATAATTTAAAAAAAAATCAAGATAAATTCTTTTTAAAAATAAATAAATAAAAATAAAAACATATTAGGACAATTCAGATTAACTTGGGTTAACTTGTCAAATTCACTATTTAGATCATGAGATCAAAATAACACTATAGAAAGCAAATAAATTTTGTTATAAAACTCATTTCTTAATAAACTAAATATTAACGGATAAAGTTGAAAATAAAATTCAAATTAAAAAATGAGCTGGGTCAATCCTAGTTAATTTGTCATACTTGGATTATAAGACTAAAATAAAACTATATAAAACAAATTAAAATAAATTATGAAGTTCAATTATCACTAAACTTAATATTGAAGGATGAGATTAAAATTATCAATTAAAAAATGAACATAAAAAAATTAATGAGTCACTTGACCAAAATCATGATTAGGGTCACGAGATCAGGATAACCTTATAGAACTTAAATTGAAATAAATTATGAAGTCTAATTTTCAATTAACCTAATATTTAAGGATGAAATTAAAAAAAATTAGTTAAAAAAAAAAACTTAAGTCAACAAGTCTAACCTGAAAACCGAGTCATAAAACCGTGATAACCCTATAGAAATCAAATAAAAAAAATTATAAAGTTCAATTACTAATTAATCTAATACTAAATTATTAAAATAAAATAAAAAATAAAAATTACTCAAGTCAACTTGGATTTATTTGTCAAACCTAGATTAGGAGACCATGATAACTTCATAGAAAGCAAATAAAAAAATATTATATAGTTTAATTCTCTATTAACTCAATGATGATGGATAAACTTTAAAAAATCATTTAAAAAAGAAAAAAAAACCTAAGTTAACCGGACTAATCTGTAAAACTCGCAACCTAGATAATAAGATTGTGATAACTCCATAGAAAAAAAAAGATTAAAAAACCCTAAGTCAACTTAGCTAACCTTGGTCAATTAAAAAAAAAAGACAAAA